AGAGAATAGATGAACAATACATATATATAGATGTCAGGACATAACACCCTACCCCATTGAGAAAAAAAAGATTTTTAGATACAAAGAAAAATTCTTTTTTTTATAGAAAATAACAACATGTCTTTAACAACATATATAAAAAGATACAGAAATGAATAGATGAAATAATATAAGACTACGATTAACAGAAAACATGGAAAAAGCTAACAACAGGAAGCAAAGGAAAAAAAAATACGACCAAAAACGTGATCGAGTTTGTAACAAATATACCTGATCAAATATTATAACTTATGTTGTATGAATGGAAATTGTTCATATGAATATTGTTATAAATATATAAAGTCGATCAAATAATAAATATACTTTATCAATGCACACAATAATATTTTATTTTGATTTTATAAATTTTGGTCGAATATCATTAACATGTTGACGATTAATTAATGGAGTTGTTTCATTTCGTACTAATTGAGTAGAATTTTGTTTGCTGATAATCGATTTTGGATATACTTGATCGGGATTTTTAATATAGCCATTGCTATTTTCTTGACAATGTAAACAAGTGTTGATATATTGGATAATTGATTGTTTCATATTTGGCCACCAGAACTTGTTTTTTAATTTCAAATATATACGTTGTATGCTGGAGTAATCTGCAATAGGATCAGTATGATAAACTTTAATAAACGAATCAATCATGGAAGATGGTAAATAAATTAATTTAACTTTAGTTAAACAATTGGCCTTCATTAACATTAATTTATATAACACTCCATCTTGTAATACATAGGGATGCTCGTTTGGATTCTGTTTTAGTTCTTTAATTTTTTGTTGAATATGTGGATCTTTAGATTGTTCAATTTTTAATTGATTTGTATCAAACTGATCTGGTTGTCGTTTGTATATAGTTGGTTTGTTTTTTGGACATGTAAAAATAGAACCGACTTGGCCACAAATTTTTTCAGCAACAGACGCCGTATCCAGCGGTTGCCTATTACGTTTCGAATAAATTTTATTAATTTTGCCTAACATTACTTTCGAGTTTGGATGAAATGAATTGTTCGGATTTTTATAGATTGATTGTTTGTTAATAGTAGAAATATTCTTCACTAGTAATGTAGAAATTGTTGTTGTTCCCAAAATAATTCCTTTGGATAACATTTGCGAATAACTTTTCGGATTATAAAGAGAGATAAAAGAAGTATAATCATTAACAGATATTAATGAGCTTGATATTACTAAAGGTGTGTGTTGTTGTAAATTAAATGATGGTCGAAATAGCGCTTTATATGATGATAATGGAACAGAAACGGGAACAGAAACAGTCTGTTTTGGTTTAATCCGAATAGTATTAATCAAGCGCACAGGCAAACGAATTTTTCCATTATTAACATTCATATGTAATGTTGTTCGTTTATTGTTATCAGCAATCGACATGGTTTGCTCTTCCGAATTAATATGTAATTTATATTTCTTAATAAAATCCATACCTAATATACAATCAACGTATAAATCTTGAATAATAAATGCTCTAATTGAAGTCAATATTTCACCCATTTTAATTGATAATGGAATTTCACCATAAATAGGAAAAGGTATATTTTCATGAGTAGAAAATACTGGATGATGTATCGAATTAATAAATTCTTGACTACATATTTTCGATAATGATTTCATTGAAATAAATGTATGAGGTGTATCCATATCTATCATAGCTTTCATATATTTATCATTAATAAGTGTTGTTATAAGAAATAATGATGAGTTATTGAAAGATGGATTTGTACTAATACTACAGGAAGCAACACCATCTTGCGAAGCTTCCGTTACTCGAAATGGTGACGGGTACAATCCCGAGAATAATGTCCAGGAGTACCACATGTATAACAAATTCTTGAAGACTTATTTGGTGTTGAATTACGTGATTGACTAGAATAAAAAGAATTCTTATAACGTGAATTATTCTCACCCTTTGTGTCTAAAAGTTCTTGTTGTGAATATTGAACATTTTTGTATTCATTGTGTTCATGTTGTCCTTCAGGAGTAGCTATTGGTGATAATGATTGCTGAAATGTATGAACATCTTGTGATTCATTATATTGATGTATTATGTAATCAGTTTTAGTAAAAGATAATGTATCTTCTAGTTTTCTTGCATATGATAAAAATGTTTCAATCGTTTGTGGATCATATAAGGCAATATGTAACTTTAATGATTCTTTTACACCAGCCATTAAATATTTTAATTTTAATGAATCAGGCATAGCTGGATCAACTTTCTTACATAATTCAATAATTTTATCATAATATTGTGTAATAGATTGATTAACCGTTTGTTTGTACCATTTTAATTGTTCAAAAGCTAATTCTTGTACCTCTGTTGATCCAAAAGCCTTTGTAACAGCTTCAGTAAATAATGACCATGATTTAATCGTCGTAGATGTTTGTGTCCACCATCGATATGCATCATCTTGTAAATGTATTGAAATATATTGTAATTTCTCTTCATCATTCCATTTTGCCATTTTAAAACGTTGTTCTAATTTTCCTAACCAATCGTGAACATCATCTTTTGAGCCACGAAAATATGTTGGTTTTTTAATAATTTCATCGACGATCGTCTGCTGTAAATGTGATGTAGGTAAAAAATTTGGAGCAATAATTGACGGTGCAACCGTCTCTACAGGAATATTATTTTGTATTGTTGATGATGTAGATGAGTATTGTTTAAGGAATAAGTTGGCAAATCTTTCAAAATTAATAATTAACTGTTTATTCTGAGTATACCATGAATATGCTGTATCTTCTAATAAAAATGGTATAGCTTGAAATTGTTCAAGACGACGTAATCCATATTGTTTAAATTGATTCATTGTTTGTAATAACCAAGCCTTGGCATCGCCTTTACCAGAATATTTAATAAATTTTGTATCAATAAGATTTTCCATCAAAGTTATTTCATTAATGGCAGATAATGGATGATTCATTGACAGAGACGATCCATAAGAAAGGATGTTTCCAAAATTATTTCAATTAAAATAAATAATAACTAACGTTGGTTTGTACTTAAATAACCGCTGTCACCACTTGTTATGTTCTACTTTTATTATACTTGTTTTAAGGGCAAATCATGGGTTCGAATATGTAGAACATAAACGTTTGTTTATTTCTTAAACTTAAAGAATCACCACCGGTACATAATATCGCATGCATATATATATATCATCAAAGAAGAAGAAAGAAAAGAGAATAGATGAACAATACATATATATAGATGTCAGGACATAACACATAGTAACTTCATCTTTATCATGTAGTTCTCGGGTCGGAAAGATCATTTCCATTATCTTTCAGCATATAACTGAACCACGTTTGCTTCAATTTGGAATCGCTTCATAATTTAAAACATTTTTCAATGGTAATTCAATGAAATCCGAAGTATGGATAGATGAAGAATCAGTTGACGACATATTAAGTCAACAAACAGAATTAAATAACTTATAAGAACATGAATAGACAATAACCATGAGATATGATCGGAGAAAAAATGACAATAGGTCATCGACTTAAAGAATGATGCTGTGTCGTTAATTGGATGAGCATATGTCTGTTCTGTAAAAAACAAAATAATGAAGAAAAAAAATGAATCAAAGAATTACACTTCGTAAGAATGACCTATTGTCATAAAGACAATTAGTGTTATTGTTCAGAGAAAAAACAACGCTATACGAAAATTTGATAAGGTATGTTAATCAAGCGATCAAATTTCGTTTGATCGCTGCACACACTATCTCAATTAAAAAAAAATGATAGTTCGATTTAGTTCGAATTTTACTTTCAAAATTAGTTCAAGTTCAATTCGATTCGAGTTCGGTTTGGTTTGCTTTCAGTTTCTGTCACCGATGGTATGACTAAAACAAAGATGCATGAATCTGATCGAAAACCTCGATCATAATAATCTGTAACCTAGGCTCAAGTCTCATTGGTTTTACGCATTCTAAATCATGTGTGGTTTCCGATTACATCTCGATGGGAATAAGAATGGTAACTGTAAAAAAACTTGACACATCCGCGTGTGTTGGATGTGTGTATGTGCATGTATGGATACGTTGTTGGTTGTTACCAGAAATTTTCTTGTTCATAACAAAGGCAGAGATATTTACTAAATTACGTCATATTGTATTCAACTGTTTTTAAGTGTTGAATTTCTCCATTTCAGGAAAGTAACACATATTAATTGTAGAAAACGGTAGTGTTGAACAAATATGTTTGAATAGGCTTTTTCTCCTTTTTTTTTCCTATTAACATAAGAGCACAGGTTGGTAGAGAAAACACTCTTCATCAAAGAAGTAGTCTTGTTTCAAAATAGTGACTCCTATAATAATTTTTGTGTCTTTAAACTGTGAAAAATGATTCATTTGGAGTGTTGCTATGTTGCAAATATTTGTCCCTTTGTATCGAGTGCAAACGGGTTACGACGAGAAAAATATTTGATTTTTTTGCGCAAGTCATCAACGAGTAGACAAAAAACAACGAGAAAGTGTACTTTTTCTTTTTCTCGTCGTAGAAATCGCCGTTAAGAAAGCAACGAGTGTCATTAGAAAATATATTATTTTGAAGCAGTTCTTTTTGTCATTTTATAGAGTTGTTTTTTTTTTAATCCTACAATACTAGAAATAAAACAAAAGCATAAACATTGATTGCCATGAGTACGATGAGAAAGAGAAACTACGATCGCACGTATTAAATTCATAAAATAATAGTCGATTATTTTGAAAATATTGTTGGTTAAATTAGGTAAACTAGTCTATATTGTGCAATCGTTGACGTTCTTTCCAAACGTGTATTTCGAAATTAAATTTCATCTTATTTGCGTTGAGAAAAATTACACTTATTGAATCCATATATGGACATATCATTATTCTTGAAAACCTCTACTTTTGGTATATTCTCAAGGTTCTTCATATGCCTTATAAGGATAGAATCACCCCATCGGGTAGCGTATTCTCTCCTCTGATGAATGGTATGTATAGAAGAACAATTAAAGCCTAACAATAAATTCTGTTGTGCAATTTTTTTTTTGATGAATTCAAGTGATAGATTGCAAATGTTATGACTAACACAAAATAAGAAAAAGGAAAATCTGTTGTCACTTCTATGCTCCAAATGACTTTTTCTTTTCTTCAAAAAATTACAACGTAAAACATTTATATTCATGCTGTCACGAACGCAAGAGTATATAATAGTGTGCTATTTTATATTAAAGCGAAAAATAAGTCCGCCGTAGATGCATCATACTCGCAAGAAATTTGTTTTGTTTTTTTTTCTTTTCTATAAAGACATTTACGACTCACATCACTAGAAGAGAATACAGCACAAAGTGCACGTCGTTTTCTATACGACAAAGTCTCTTAAGAAAAAAACAAAATTGGCAATTCTCTATGATAAATATATACAGCAGAGATTGGTCTTATACGTTTGTCATATAGAATTTGTCATAACAAATGAATTGACATTAACAATTCATAATGTACTATTTTTTTTCTATTGTACCATATTCAAGTTCGATTTTTCATATTAATTTTCTATGGTTTTTAGATTTTGAAAAAATTCTCTTTATTTTCTTATTTTGTAGTATATTTTAGATTTATATTAGAAAGTGTAAATTCTTTCATCATCTAATTTCATTCACTTGATCTTCTATACAAATTAAAAGAAAGGATGCGTGAAATTGTTCATATGCAAGCTGGTCAATGTGGTAATCAGATTGGTTCGAAAGTAAGTTGATCTCTTTTGAATTGAATATATTTTTTATAAAATCTCAATGTGTTTCTAGTTTTGGGAAGTGATTTCGGACGAACATGGTATTGATCCCACGGGCACATATCATGGCGATTCGGATCTTCAACTTGAACGTATCAATGTCTACTATAATGAAGCAGCTGGTGAGTAGAAAATAAAAACCAAATGCATCTATATTTTTACTCTCTCGTTTCAGGTGGCAAATATGTGCCACGTGCTGTTCTTGTTGATCTTGAACCAGGCACAATGGATTCAGTGCGTAGTGGTGCATTTGGTCAGCTCTTTCGTCCGGACAATTTTGTCTTTGGTAAGTTTACTAAATATTTTTTGTCGAATTTTTCTTATATTTTCTAAATCATTTTAGGACAATCGGGTGCTGGTAACAATTGGGCCAAAGGTCATTACACAGAAGGTGCAGAATTGGTCGACTCGGTGTTAGATGTCGTACGAAAAGAGGCTGAAACATGCGATTGTCTTCAAGGCTTTCAATTAACACATTCGCTCGGTGGTGGTACTGGCTCAGGCATGGGCACATTGCTTATCTCAAAAATTCGAGAAGAATATCCCGATCGTAGGTTAATTCTTGAGAATGACACTGAAACTTGCATCTTTCTTATTTTCGTTTAGGTATCATGATGACATTCAGTGTTGTACCATCTCCGAAAGTATCTGATACCGTTGTCGAACCGTACAATGCAACATTATCCATACATCAACTAGTTGAAAATACAGATGAAACATATTGTATTGATAATGAAGCGTTGTATGATATTTGCTTTCGTACACTCAAACTTACGACACCTACATATGGTGATCTTAACCATCTCGTTTCGGCTACAATGTCAGGTGTAACAACATGTTTTCGATTTCCTGGTAAATTTTTCTTCGAATTTCAGACTAATATTTTATTTTCTATAATTTAAACAATATTCTAGGTCAACTCAATGCTGATCTGCGGAAACTAGCTGTTAATATGGTACCATTTCCACGTCTTCATTTTTTTATGCCAGGTTTTGCACCATTAACATCTCGTGGTTCTCAACAGTATCGTGCATTGACTGTACCTGAACTTACACAACAAATGTTTGATTCAAAAAATATGATGGCAGCATGTGATCCACGTCATGGACGATATTTAACGGTTGCTGCTATTTTTCGTGGTCGTATGTCAATGAAAGAAGTTGATGAACAAATGTTAAATGTACAAAATAAAAATTCATCATATTTTGTTGAATGGATTCCGAATAATATCAAAACAGCTGTTTGTGATATTCCTCCACGTGGACTTAAAATGTCGGCAACGTTTATCGGTAAAGATTCAACAAGAACAAATTGTCTCAAATTTTTATGGTATTAAATTTTTTGTTTTATTTTAGGTAATAGTACGGCAATTCAGGAATTATTCAAACGTATTTCGGAACAATTTACGGCTATGTTTCGTCGTAAAGCATTTCTGCATTGGTACACTGGTGAGGGCATGGACGAAATGGTCAGCGATATTTTTTCTATTTCTTATTTCGCATCATTTTTGTTTTCGATTTCGCAGGAATTTACTGAAGCTGAATCGAATATGAACGATCTTGTCAGTGAATATCAACAATATCAAGATGCTACTGTTGAAGGTCAGCATATTTATTGTTTTATTCTATTTATATCTTAATTGTCTTCTCTATTTTATTGCAGAAGAGGGTGAAGGTGGTGAACAGGAAGAGGAAGAACATGCATAAATGGCAATGCAAATCAACATTGCAGATTTTGTTCCATCTTTTTCCATAACAATATTCAACATTTTAATTTTTTTTTTTCAATGCAATGTTATCTCCTTTTTTCGGTTCGTCATGCATACATGATTTTAGAACCATATATATTCTTCTCTTCATAAAGTTTCATTTGTATTTATTACCGGTAACTACAGCTCTGCATGATCATGATGTTTGGTCACTGTCACGGTTACGGATATCCATTTCTGACTCCATACCCAGGAATCAGGGTAAGCATAGTGACTCGCTACAAAATGAAAGGAAAGGTATGTCCAAATATCTTGGCATGTTCAAAAACATGTAGAAGCGAATTGTCAATTATCGGACTCTGACGCCTTATATGAAGGTCCTAATTAAACAAAAAAGTATATTGAATTATAGATGTCATGATGACCAAGTACTAGTCCACTACCAGAGAATATCAG